ATAATTATATATATATATATATATATATATATATTATAATAATAATAATAATAATAATTATTATTATTATTATTATTATATAAAGTAGGCATTAATAAGATGGTAATAAGCAGCACGTATGTTCCCAGCGAAATATATGTAAATATAGATATTGATACGATAGACGCAATCCTCCTATTATTGTACTTCGGTAAGAAATACCTCCATGGTAATACCACGCTCTAGAGTGTCTTTGAAAAGATACCGTAGTAAAAAGGCGTTCGTATCGAACGCGTGCTACGTCTCTGTGACGCATGTTCGAGATTCGAAAGCAATTTTGTTTGATTTCCTAGCCCTGTTCGATTTCTAGTAAGACGCCCCCTACCTCGTGGTAGTAGTACCCACCATGTACCTTTACCGGATTTACTTGCTCTTACCTGGTTATCTGTCAGACGATAACATAGTGCCTGTGCCCCCAAGGGGGCAATAGACACAAGAACTAACTAATGTGGATCCACTTTTAAACAAAATCTTGGCTCACATACATAAAAATAATGTACTGTACACTTAGTTTTAAAAATATGGACTCAATTTACGCATAAATCTAACTAATCTAGAAAGTATAATCTAGAAATATAATAGAATAAGAAATCACGAAGTGACTGCTTGCACGGTGGTGTGGGAATAAGATCTCATTCGCTGGGTAGACCATTAACTAAAATTCATCCATGGGTAAATCTAGCCAACCAGAAAATGAGATGACTCGGATTGCAAAAATAGGCTCCCTGCGGAAGCGTGTGCATATTGCCTTATACTGTACACAGTATAAGCCAATATTTATGGTTACTACGGCAAATTATCTGCATGGGGATTCGGTTTGAGAAGTTCGTAATCGCTTACTTCTGCACACAACGGCATTCTTCAAAAGACAGTTAAATAGTCCACCGGAAATACGGATTTGACTGGACAAAATTGCAACAAAACGTTTTATGGTCTAAATATAAACTTAATTATATGTAAAACAACATACTAAAAGTTTACCAAAATAGGACGTACATAAAGGTGTTTTTTATAACCAAAAGTTCAGCACTATTTGAAAGTAGACTTTTACACGGTACGTACTGCGGTTTTCAAACTTTTCTTGATTATGATTGGTCAACATTTAGGTCAATGTAGGTCATATCTGTTTGTTGCCGGAAGATTGAGACCCGCGTTTTGAGGCCTTGTAATAACATCTCATTTTTTAGGCCCTAGCTTAGGCATTGCTTTCTTGCTTCCCGGTTCAGTCTAGTAGTCGCGCACACCTTGAAGTGTGTCACTTTCCCCGCATCGCAACGTTTTCTCGGCGGCCAACGGACGCATGAACATATATAGAAAATCTTAGTAACGTAGGCCTGGGGCTATTTCCAATGTAATCTCATCAGTATCTAAGTGTAGAATGGAACCAGAAATGCATGACCTACTGATGTAGAACTACTACTTTATTTATTGTCGAGTACCGTGTTGTGTTTTTTTGGTTTTTTTTTCATTGTACAGTATCGCAAAAACTAGAGCAGTCTCAAAATCAAAAATCTT